AGGGGTTTCCTTTGGTGAGTTATTTACATGTATCTGACACTCCATTTGCATGAGTCACATGATGATTAGGAAGCCCGCTTGTTAAAAAAACGCTGCATGCTACTAAATGCATTGAGGACGTCTTCTTCCAATTTACATTAATTGGGCCAACAGGTGCCTTGAGTTGGCTTGTCACGAAGGCAGGATGGTGGAGTGCAACGTGCAAATGAAGAGATTCCCGCTCTGATTTAGGATCATCAGGAGAGCAGCAATTCCAGTCCGGACCCCTCTCGTGAAGAATTCTGAAATCGTATCACACTGTGACAGTTCTACATGTACCTTTCTTGAAGCCTGTCTTGAAAGAAACCATACAATAAACTGACTAAGTGCTTGCATATTATTATGATGGTAAATCAGTTGATTGGAGTGGGATAGGAACCTCTAACCTCTGACATCTGTGGTAGCGCTCCTCTGACTTAAATATCCAGCCTTTTTTTGATGATTCCTCCCCATATGCCAATGTCTGTGCTCAGTGTCAGCAGGCAGAACTGTGAGATGCCAAAGTTTCATTGGTCAAGCTGTGCACGACGTGCATCGGTTTGTGCATGTTTTAATATTCAACTCATTGTGACCTCCTCCATGCAGATTAGAAGTCATCGGTCATAAAGACAACTATATGCCAGCAGGTCGCTGACCCCATATCTAAATGATACCAAGCGGTAGTGTTAGCGAATGGACCATTTATCTTATTTTTCCCAAACAGTGCCAAATTTCATTAGAAAACATCACTATGCAGATTGTTGTCCCGAGTAAAAAATGAGTGGGGAACCAGACACACGTCATATAGGTTTCATGGTTTTTGGCTGGTTATCCACCATTGCTAAGCACATATTTTATGTGCTTAGCCAATTTTCTGTTTTACAGCCATGGGGCATTGGGGCCGAATGTTGGCATGGGTGAGTTGAAGGTCGTCATGACTGCACTTCTCTCTCCTGCAACGGATGTATTAAATAAGCCACCCACAACATTTCAGGAAAAGCGGATTTCATGAATTCTTTCCCGAAGTGATTCATTTCATGAAAATCGAAAAACAAGGCCTTACATTTGGTAATTTTCTTCCAATTTGGATTTAAGTGAGACAGATGGGCGGTTGTATTAGCCAAGTCACACGATTTTCTGGGTTACCAGTTTTACCATGGAATACGTATTCTTTTTCTCCTTGTTTTGTTCAGCGTATTGAAAAGTGTGAGGTTAGGTGCTTGATGCCGAAAAGGTTGGGTGCTTGTAAGGGACTTCTTCCTCTGGACACAAAGTGGTCGGTTGCTGTATCATTTTCCGGGCCAGGCACACCATGGAGGAATCCTCCCCCACAAGAAGTTTCCTAATTGTTTAGTGATTCATCTCTGAAAGGTTGTGACCCGAGTGGACGCTATGGGGGGATTGGGGTTTCTGACCCGTGCCCACAGGTTACAGCTCTCACGCCTCCCAGCATTACATGCTCTGCCTCCCTCCTAGTTCAGCATGAACAGTGACAAGGGAATGTTGTTGTTGCAGGTCGTTTGAATAGCCTGTGACTCGAATTCAGACTGGAGGCCTTTTTTTGGTCCAGCTGGCTCTTGGGATTGACAATAACATTACTCTTGACAGTCTGCAATTGTAGGCTGTTTTTGGCAGAAGGGATGTCATATTCTTGTCAGCAAGGTTCGGACAGGTTTGCTGGTCTTGAGTCGCCCTTCACAAAGGATGAATTGATTTAGTTGCCCCGTGGTTCCAGTTTGCTTATTTTGTCAGTGGAAGTCTATGCAGTGGGGCCTTCACAGGCTAAAGGCCTCAGTATGGGATGGATTTTGGAAATGTTTCTTTTGGAAGTGTGAGGCAAGTACATCATAGCACGAGCTGACAATTTTCAAATTGGAGTGAGCTGGTAGTCATACTGGCTGTATAAATTGCACCCAACAAATCTGCCGGTAAACTTCTGTCCAGGGTTTGGCTGATTTGAGGGGGATCGTACTTGTCAGAGTGGATGAAACTTTCAATTTGTTGTTGGAGATCAACTGGTAGTTTAATTTCTCTCTTCGGATGTCCTTGCCCCGCTCCTACTCTTTTCTGAGCTCCAGTTCTAAAAAAATCTCAGGAAGCTGGGATAGACTCATCTGAAACCTGTTTTGCCCGGTTAACCGCTGTGCTTTATTTGACGGGCAGGGGCTCAGACCGCCAGGCCATCTCGTGGTTTGCGCAGCCTCATTTTCTAATCTAAGGGGTAGGATGCAGAAAAGAGGTGTTTGCATGTGACATCCCCGGAGCGTAGCTGTTTTTCCCACTTGCCAGGACTGCCGTGGTGGAGAGGGATATGGGAGTGGCATTGGCCAGGCTAGGGGACGATATCTGGGCTTCCTGTCCCGTGCATTTGCTAACTGCACCTTTCCTTTCTCCCTCGTGTCTGAGAGGAATAACATTACTGTCTGAAGAAACTTGATAGCATGGGTAGGATTATTGAGACAGATGAACGAGCCCCTCTCAAATTAGCACTGAATTTTGCAAGCTTTATCAGTTGCTTTTGATAATACCAATTGGCTGTTACTGTCGTCCTCAGACTGGAGTTCTGTCCTCCTATCACGCATGTGTGTGAGGACAGGAAAGGTCCTCAGAAGTTTTCAACTTGCACCACCTACTATTAGGATTTATCTTCCCTGATGCATTTAAGTTTAGTAATTGGCCTCTGCATTTAAGTTTAGTAATTGGCCTCCCTGTGGTCATTGTCGACATGGAACGTACATATAGAGCCCGTGTCTATGTATGTGCACATCTAAATGAAGTTGACCTCGTGTCACAGGTCATGAGGTTAACAACGTTGTGGTCTTTCTCAGATAGTTCATCTTAATGAGGTATCAGAACTTTGTTCTGACAAGCACTGTCCTTGGCTCAGCTTGACAGAGTTGCCAAGCTCACAAGTTTATAGAGCACAGAAAAGTGTTTTTTTTTTCGCAACCAAAAGAAAAAGACCCCAAGAAGAAACAAAAACTGCCATAGCTGTACTTGAGTCCGACTCCAGCCCAGTCAACAGTCCCTTCATGAGACCAGCAACAGCAAATAGTTTGAACAGTGACAATGTAATGCTTCTGTTGCTGTTCATTTGAGTAGCTCATGATTTAGCTTGGACTGGATGACTTGTGATATGAGTTGCAGGGACTTGTGATCGGGCCCGACCTTGAAAAACCTTGAAGGGGATTTCTTGAAATGCTTCCAAGGTTTGTAACACTGCGTGCGGCCATCTCTGTTCTTCAACCGCTCACTTCTCTGCAGTGCCACCCGCCATTTCTGTCCAATCTCCCTCGCTCTGCTTGGCACGAGTCCTCCCATTTCTGGATTGTTTTTGTCACGGTGGCGCCAAGCTGTGGCCAGTGGCCAGTCGACTGTCTGTAGCCGTGAGCTACCAGCTTCCCAGATGCATTCCCCAGTCACCTTTGCCTGGCGACAGTGGCTACGTTCAAAAAAATTAAGAAGACATATTGGGAGGAATTGATTGGAGATTAATCCACGTGCCTTGTGGGATAGAGTTACTCTCAAAATATAGGAATGTACAGTATGTTGTGCCCCAGCACAATTTCTTTTTTTGGGGGGGGGGGTTCAATTTTTCCGTGACACTTGGTGTGTTGTGCTGGTCATCAGATCCTGCATTCGTCCTTACAAGTCAACTTGTGACAGGCTTGTCTTGGCCCTGTGGCATTCTGTCTGTCTGCTGTCAGGGTGAGAAGGGGATGTAGGAATCATGTCTCTCAGGGACTGTAAATGCTTGCTCTTTAGTGCACTGTTGAAGTTTTATGAAGGAACTGGGAAATTTGCTTAGCGCAAAAAACAGGTTGCCAACCCACACATCATGGTGTGTGTTTTGCCTGTGACTGGTATCTTGCTCATTCTGCTTAGCACATGAACTTGCTGAGCAGGATTAATTGTTGGGCGAAGCTGGTCCGTGATGTTGGCTGCTTGCATAGTGAAGAAAGACTGAGCAGAGGTCTGTTGGCCTCCGTGTCGCCACGCTCAATGCCACTGGCGCTCGCAAGTCGGCGGCATGGGTAGCCGTCAAGCTTTTCTTTGTGTCAAAATTGTAAAGCGCTGTCTCACCTCTAAGTGAGTTTAAGTACAAAAAGACGGGGATGGTAGCAAGAGATTGGCCATGGTACCTTGCAGGGCAGCCTTAGAATTATAGGTTGAGTTCGGGTGGCCTGTTCTTGACATGGATTTCTTGTTCTCGCTAAAGCTCTTGCTAAAGCTGCGTCTCACCTCCAAGCAAGCTTAATAGGGTTTAGTGTTGATGGCAGCAATATTATCGACAAGAGATTTGCCAAGGTGCCTTGTAGGGCGGCTCTGGAAGTGTACCCGTATCGTTGTTGCGTTGGCAGCTAGCCAAGTAAAACAAACTGGGGGTTCTAGCACCTCGTACTTTTTGTGTCGGGCAGGCTGACGAAAAATGGAGACAGGATCATGAAACATGCAACAAAAAAAAGCTGTTTTCTTCCTTTTTGGCAACTGTTTTCAGTGGTCACAGCTACGTAGATACAATTGGGGGGGTTGAAGAAAACATCTGAGCTTCGATGGTGTGGAGGGGAGGAATTATTTTTTGCAAGAGAAGCACTTTTAGCCTCTTGTTTTCAGAAAAATTGGACTTGCACTTCAGTTTTTTTATTTCAAATTTGCAAAATCAATTTTTTTTTTCAAAATCGCAGATTTCAAATTTGCGAAATCATATTTTTTTTCATAATCACAGATACTTATCATTGCTTTGAACAAGGAATCATGTTTTAGGGCGGTGAGTGCTAAATTTGGTTGGTACCACCTCTCAAACCCCACAGGACCGAGTATTCAATTGAGCAGGAGTGCTCCGTGCTGATGGTTTTTGAGGCAGGCGCCATTCTCAAGTGCCTGTTCTCGGCTGACTGAAATCCCCCGATGGCCTGTAACAAACTGTCATGACTGCATTCAACACGCTGCTCACTTTTTCTTTCATTCTCTCTCATGTTCAGGAAAGTGAACAAGTCCTACCGTGGCAAAGCCTGTCCGATCGTGGTACACTGCAGGTAGGTGAAGATAACGCTGTGGGGAGGGGGGGGGAGATGGGGTGGGGGAGGTAATGACTCGGCACATTCTCGAGGATGCGTCTTTTCCTCATCCCGCCAGCTTAAAGAAGAGGTTTAAGGATTTGGGCTCAGAGAATTAACTCAGACACATGCCCTTGGCCTCAACTGCCAGACTCGATAAGGCAGACATTATAATTGTCTTTTTTTTTTTAAGCTACGGTTAAATTGGGTTGTAAGCTGATGACAGAAGACTATTGGAATGCATTACGTGAAGCAAGTTTGAAGCCATGCTGCACGGGTTGGAAGGCATCTAGTAGGACTGGAAACCAGGTCATTCCTTTTTTCAATCAATTATCGGCAAATGCCGAGCCAGAAATCTAAACTGCATTGTTTCATTCCTTACAAAGGCCAAACTGACTTGATTTTTATCTTCCACCGATCCTGGGGCATTACAGCATCTAATTCTTGACAAGAAGAAGATTAACACGTTGCTGAGAAGCTGTACAATTTGGTTAATTAATTCTTCAATTGTGACACAAAAACATCAACATGTCGGCTTCACCCTTCGTGGCAAGTTACCGCCTGAGTAATTTGGTCCCTGTACGTCTGTCACGTTTTGGTAGACATGTTGGAAATGCATTTGAATGTGGTGTCTGGCTAAAGGCCAACACATGCCTTCTGGTCGGACATACTTTAAAGCTTAGGATTTGGTCCCACAAAATACTCTAGTCAGTTGGATAAGACTTTTAAGCTGGTAGGACCTTCACTTCTAAGTTTATCACGCTCAAGACCCCCATCACTCTAGTGGGATTTTCCCGGCCTCAGTTTCAACTCCAGCCGTGGTTTCAGGTGATTTTCTGGACCCCGTGTCCAGGCACCTGATGTTTATCCATAAGTTGCCCTGAGGTTGTTCCTCGTGTCCCCTAGGGATTGATATGATGAAATGCTTCTGAATCATTCTGAAGCCAGAATTGGAGTCCAAGTTAGAGGCAAGAGAACGCTTTGGAAATAGCTCACGTGGCTGCACACTGGTTTCTTCTTTGTTTTCTGGGCCGACCTGCTTCTTTATATTTTATAGGACGGAGGTGTTTCCAAGCAAAGCTCTCAACTTCTTTTGTTTTCCCTTCATTTAGAACTACCCCAACTATTAGTTAATGAAAGAAAAATAATCCAAAGAGTCAATTACAGAATCAAACTTCCAAGTAAAGAGTGTAGAGTAGAGAACCGAAGTAAATACATCACCTGCACAATTACATGTATGTGTGTAAAAGGCGTTACCGCAAGAACCAGCATGTGCACCAACACGCGGGTGTACTCCATTCGTCTGCACCAGACTTCCTGGTTCAAATGGCGTCCTGCTTTGGTACTCTGTAAGCGCTACAGTGATGTCGTTGTAATGAATATGGAAAAGGTCACAACCCAAGCGCAAGATTGGCCCAAAAAGATGTGCAGCCTCTCGGCAAAGTTGCTCTGCACTATTCGAAAAAAAATAAAAAGTGCTGGCTGCACTGGCTGGCCTCTTTGTCCAGAACACGGGGGGGGGGGGTAATTGGGAAGGGGGGCCGGTTTGAGGGTTGCCTGGATTTACTCCTCCCCGACCCCCCCTCCTCCCACGGCCCAGTCTGTGGTCAGAGTGACTAATAGACAGCACAGGTAGTAAACAGGGCCAAGGTAAGGGGGGAAGGGAGCTGGGGAAACGAAGGTCTGCCATCAGGGCATGTTTCATCATCAGCATTTCATGCCAGACGTAGGGGTTGGGAAGTGTGACATTTTGGAGTATCCACGCGAAGACAATATCACTGTCAGATTACGTGGTCAGATTCAGAGGCGCGCGGCTTTTCCTGCGGGTTATTCACTTAGGGTTCGTGTCACATCCGAAAATATCTGAAAGTTTTTTGTTTGTTTCTGGTTTGGTTTCGACTTCTTCTTGTTTTTGCCTCTGTGGACAGAAGGTTTGGGATATTTGGTGGGAGGGGGTACAAGACTGCACCCAGGAGTTTTATGAACTTGCCTTCTAGAGGAAAACATTTCTGAACATTTCTTGATTACTTTTTAAAATCCAGCCGTAAGAATTTTTTAATTGGAGGCACCTGAGGTTTGAGGCGTGGATTGAAGAGACGATTGCTCTTGGCATGGTCTGTGTTACAGTTTTTACAAAAACCAGAACACCAGCAAACTGTCCTGTGCCTAATTAGTAAGCCCATCCGCACCACCTAATGGACACCGGCTTACTGGCGGCAGTGACGTAAGCCTGTCACCATGTAACCTGTTGTTGCAACATTGCCAGTAAATGTATTTTGACAACTGGGAACAATAACAGGATATTGCTATTGGCTGTTCAATGTTACACCCTCCCTCCCTCCCACAAGCTTCTCTTCCCAAAACTACCAAAGCCACAAAATCTTGTTTGAGAACCTTAAGATTCAGCAAGTTTTTCAAGAGACTGTGTCTAAACCTTGGGTTGCTTCCCTCATTCTGACAGACATCCCACAAATGCAGATATTGAAAGCTTCACTAGAGTGGTTGTCTTAAATAAAAAGAGACTTGTAGCACACGACAGTTAATTACATGAGTCACTTCCTAACAGCTCTCTTCTCGCAAACTAACCCGCCCCCTCCAACATGCTCGCACTAATTTCAGTCAGGAAGGCACATTAAATGCTGAGGAAAAGGAGTTATCTTCTCATTTTGTAGAAGTTGGGGAAGCCAGGCTGAGCCGAAGGAAGTCGGTGATGAGACAGGTGTTATGATTCCATCACAGAAAAAAAGAAAATCCGACTGCTCTCTCGATGGGACGATGCTGTTGTTTGTGTACTTGTCAGAGTAGTATCACTGGATCTGTCGTCATTAATCCCAAAAGTGTTTGGTCATCCCAATCTTCCCATGATACCTAGCACATTGCTCTAAAAGGTTAAAGGTCAAAATCCCCTCTTCATGAGAAGGGTGTCAAGGATGAAAATATTTCTTGTAATGTTGTGGGTTATTTGTGTTTAATTACTGATATATTCTATACCAAATTTTTATTTTTTAATCTCTTGTGGGAGGTTCTAGTTAATGTTATTGATCATAATAAAAGAATTTATTTGCATTTAGGTCCATTTATTTCTTTAATATGTCTTCTTTTTACCTTTACATCATTATAATTTGATAATTCTTTGTCAGTTTGAAAGCTAGGAAGCATTTTGATAGACTATTAATTACATTACCGATTTCCTAAAAATGGTTCTGTGACTTTTTATTCCCACATGACTCATGTTGTTTCTGAGGGTCCATCTAATTTAAGGCCGTCCCTGAAAGACCCATTTCAGAATTGACCTCCATGATTATGCGGGATGAGTGCTGATGTTGGATGATTGGTTGGTGGTTTTTTTGGAAGGAACAGATTAAATTGACAGGTGTCAGTGTCGTTTAAACTCAGGTCCATGAAATCCATTGACCACTGGTCCTGAGCCAGACAGTTTATTGTGACAGCTCTCCCTCTCAGGAGCAAATGGGCATCCTTCTCAATTGGGCACTTTGCATGGCCAATCTTAGCCAGGTGTGGGGAAGTTGCAGAATCCGGATGTATCTCATGGGAAATTTAGGGTATTCGCGGGGGGGGGCCACATTTCAGTTAGATTCCCCAATGTAGTGTATTCATTTGAAAATGTTAAATTTGAAGAACCAGACTCTATTCTATGATTTCATTCCAACCCCCAAAATCACCTGGTACCATTCCATTAGGGGTTTCAAATGAATACATTACATTCAGGAGTACGACTGGAAATGGGTCTCTTGCAAATACGGTCTACTGAGGTGGGTTCAAGAACTAGGATTCTTAAGTTTAACAGTCAGGGGGAATGATCCATCATAAGTCCCTGAAAGTCAGTAAATTAAACTAATTGCCGATACTATCCAAAAAGAAAACCATGAACAGAAGAGTTCTTTACCTGTCAGTACACTATACATGAGGACCGTTCAGGTTTCCAATTATCAATTAGTCATGGCTTTAACTGATCTGACCATTCTTTGTCCCCATAGTGACGGAGTCGGCCGCACTGGCACTTACTGCTTAGTGGACATGGTACTGACCCGCATGACCAAGGGCGCTAAGGAAATTGACATTGCCGCCACGCTGGAGCACATACGAGATCAGCGACCAGGTGCTGTCAAGCTGAAGGTAGGGTCAAAAGCCAATCACAGTTTAAAGATTAAGGAAAATTGGCACAATGCCAAATCTAACAGCGACGGGAGTGACCTGTACAAGTGTTTGCCCATTGGAGTCTTGACCATCCAGTTTTTGAGAGAAAGCCCAGTGATCAATTTTGGCCATTGCACCGATGCAAAATTCAATCCAAAAAGTCGCCGTTTCCCTGATCTCAGTTTCGGTTTGAAAAGTGCTGAAGACTTTCAGCAAGATTGCTATTTTTGGAGCAGGAAACAGCGACATCTGGCAGATTGTCTCAGATCTGATCAAAACGTACAGGCCAACAACATATTTTTTTTAACCTGGCCAACGGCCCGTCAAGGTGGTAACATTCTCTGGCGATAACTGCTACCACCTTTTCAGCTGTCCTGGATCTCCAAGCCTCTTATCCGGCTGTTTCCAACTGACGGATGCAGAGATCGAGATCCATCATATCTGATTCTGGGTTTCCTGTTTCACCCAGAGTCGTCGAGTCGTTCAGCCAGAGAGGAATCCATCAAGAGGTTCGCTGAACTGACAAGGCTCTGTTAAGCTCCCTTCCAACCCTCGCAGCGGTGGCCCTTCCCTCTCAGACATGTGCGAGGAATTTCCCCCTTGACCCTCCTCCTCATAAACTGTCCGATTTAGGCTCTCATTTTTAAGGATCTCCCCCTGTGTTCTGTGACCTGGTCAAAGGTTAAACATAGGTCGGAAATGCCGTATAACTCGAAGATTTCCAAGAACAGTGGGATTAAGTCTCAGTAAACCAAATCAGAGCAGCTTGTTTATCAGCTGTCCCTGGAAGTGGGGGGGGGGAGTTAAAAGGTTTATTCCAACAGATCGGTCTGATTTATTCCGTTTTTTTCAGCAGCTGTCCTGCTGCCTTGGAAACAGGGTCAGGCATGACAGCTGACAAGGTTAGGCCGCGTCTATTGTTTCTTGATCTGCGAGTATTGTCGGAAGTTCCCAAATAACAGCAACTGGGCCAGCGTTCAAAGCCTTTGAGCCCGGCCAACCGCAAGCCTACCTGCATGTGTTCAGTACATTCTCCCCAAGGCCCACTGAAAATCACAAAGGCCACTCTCGTTTTCATGGCAGATCCGTGAGTTGTCTGTTTAATCGGGGTTAATCCCGGCCGATTGTTTTCGAGAAGAGAGTGACGCATTTCTCTTCCACAGCCGGCAGCTTTGATAGTTCAAATGAACTTTGCTGTTTACTGGAACTGATTTCCGACAGTTGCTCATTTTCAAGCTGCTGGCTTCCAATGCAATTTAAAATGAGCAGAGTGGAAGAGAATTTCTTATAATATGGGCGACTCACAATACAGGGCGCCATCAAAAGTTTTACCCATACGCTTGACACGCTGCTGCGATTAAGTGCACCTCTTACATAATTTGAGGATATTTGATTGATTGAGGCATTCCCTGCACCACACAAAACCATCGTTTTGACCACCTAACCCCCATTCACAATAATTAATATCGAATTTTCAACTAAGATAAATAGACAGTCGGGAAAAGAAATTCAAGTTTTCGTGCACAGGACAGTCAGCGAATGAGACTTTGTCAACTATTTATCCCATATAGCACTGAGAAGGACTTTTCCATGACAGCCTCTCGGTGGCGGACTGCATTGTGAATCACCTGTATTGCTTTCACACAACTATCTGAGGTCTGAGTCTTGTAAAATGCATTCCCTTTATTGACCTCTCCTTGGTCAAGTTATTGTCTCAATTAGACATGATCCTACATTTATTTTTTAAAACTTTCCTCTTTGTGTTGTTCTTTCCCTTTTTTTTTTAAATCTCTATGTCTGTAAAACAGTTCAAATGAGAGTGATTTTGAACCATAACCTTAGTGTGGGAACGTTGTCGTGAGTTCACCTTTGATAGTGCCAATGTTTCAGACACTCGCATCGTGTGTAAGCCTAGATTTTCAAGGGAGGGAGCAATGAACTCCCTTAGGCAGTGACATAGCCAAGGGAGGTCAACTGCCCCCTCCCCCTTGGGAACTCGTGCCCCCCCCCCCACCATCCCCTCTGAGAAGGGCCACGTGCACGTCATTATTATTGATTTTTACCCAACAAGGCCCCATGTATAAGCGCTTATACATGTGGCCTTGCGGGGTACCGGAACAATGGGAAGTACCCCACAAGGCCAGTTTTTATCTTGTGGGGTACCGATTTTGGTACCCCACAAGAATTTCACGAAACTGATATTTGGAAATAACTCAAAAGGGGGAATTTTGTGTGGGTAAAAATCTGTCGCAAATTGAAGTGTTTTATATAAGGGACATCCGGTCGAAATTTCAATCCAGGAAAGTGAATTTGGTCTAAATTGGAGTGATTTGAAATTTTTTGCATGTTGTGTGGGAGTTTTGTATACGAGAACAAAGGAAATACCCCACAAGTATAGCTGTGTAAGGAAGGATGTTCCCACAAGTGACTTCACAGATTTTTGCGTCGCTGTTGTGCAGCAGTTATCCTCCGGCAACTCTGTGCAGATCAGAACGACCAGCTCTCAGGCCGTAGCGTGTACAACAGCAGCTACATATTTCTGGTTGTCATTGAAGTCTGTTGAGCCCCAACCGTTGTGTCATGTGGTCATTTTCCCGCAGTCCATTGGTTTGTTGTTAATTGCCGTGGCGTCTAAAAAGCAGCCAGGATTATTCCCACCATGCATCATCGGTGACAGCCACTTTGTGTGGTCATACCGGCATACAGACCGTTTGCATGCTATAAATCTACACAGATATGGACCAATAGTATGCAGAGGGTCGAAAAACTATGGTGTTTCTCCGATGGACATTTCATTAATTGACCTTCAAAATGATGGATTAGGATACAAGTTCATGATCCGAGGCTTAGTCCACCTGGTGAAACATCTTCCAAATGTAGACAAATGTCCACTGGTTAAGAGAGACAAAGGAAGTGTCAATTATGGATGATTATTAAAGATTTGGGAAGGCGCGAAAGCTTGGATAAGCAATTGTGTTTTCCACCTTTCTGCTAAATTCTGCATATCTCAAAATCTCAAGAGAGCTTTTTCAAAAATGTTTGTTCTCACTTTTTGACCTTCTTCGAATGATCTTGGCCATGCATTGATGGATTTCATTGAAACGTGGTGCCTCCAATAGCAATTCAAGTCACAAGCTTATTTATATGAATGGCACAAAAGCATTATTTTGTCATTATTCATCCAGTTACTTGTGACGGGTCTTGGGACTTGTCTCGTGCATGGTCTTGTGACTGGTCTTGTGATTGGTCTTGTGATTGGTCTTGTGACTGGTCTTGTGACTGATCTTGTGATTGGTCTTGTGACTGGTCTTGGGACTGGTCTTGGAATAGGTCTTTGGACTGATCTTGTGACTGACTGGTCTTGTGCATGGTCTTGTACATGGTCCTGTGACTGGTCTTGTGTCTGGTCTTGAGTCTGGTCTTGTGTCTGGTCTTGAGTCTGGTCTTGAGTCTGGTCTTGTGTCTGGTCTTGTGTCTGATCTTGAGAATGGCCCTATTACGGTCCTGATAACAACACTGGTTCCTACGTGTAGGTTGATCAGTTACTGCTATAATAAAAGGCAAGGGTAGGCAAGGCACTGTGCGATTGTCCTATTTTAGGGCCAAATCTTGTGGATTTCATGAAGGATCTTGGAGGTGAAGACTAATATCTTGAGCCAGTCCCCGCATCGCTAGTCCTTTTTGGTGGAAATGGTCGACAAGACCACCGGCTCTGTACTTCGCTCACACATAATATAGTCAAAAACAGTAGATCATCCTCAGCTTGGCTTCGTGTTTCCATCAACAAAGGGTACATTACGTCGTACATGTATCCCTGTCGCAGGAAGTGCGCATCCAGCAGCCGTGTCAGCAGCAGAGGTCCGTGTGTTCTTGTCAGGCAGCATTTCCAGGGTGTGGGAGGTGACGTGAGGGTCACTTGACCAATTAATGGCATCTCATCCGAGCAGGATGAATTTTGTACATTGCACAGACTGATGTGACGAAACAATCTTCCAAGAGCTTCAGACTGTGCGTCAGTTTTGACAAACCATTTGGGAAGCGCACTTCCATTTGAATTTTTGTGTGTGTGACAGTGTGAAGATTTACAGAGTTCAGATTTGGTCAACTTCATGGTGACGATTGTTCTGTGCTCTGTGAACATTTATCTTCCATGATTATCCTGAAGTGAAAAACTTGAAGCAGGTGGAACACTGAATCAATGTACCAATACTTTTAGGAGGGCCCTGTACCTGATGATGGTAACCATTCACTGTTCTGGTGTTTGCTCAACCAGTGCCCTGAAGGAGCAACTGCACAGGGAGCCATTGTGCTAATTTGTTCTTTTTCTTTCGTCATCTGTGTTCCCATGGTAACCACATCTTTCATCCTCTCACCCCACGCAGGAGCAGTTTGAGTTTGCCCTGACAGCCCTAGCTGAGGAAGTCAACGCCATCCTGAAGGCTCTACCGCAGTGAGCCCGTTAAGATAGACAAAGAAAAAAAAATTCATGTCTCCCATTACTTGCTGCCAGCCACCGTAACCATGGTAACCAACAACAGATCAGCAAGCCTCGGTGTGTGGACACAAAGGACTAATTTTCAACCACGGTGTACACGGAGGAGAGAAAAACATGTAAAGAATGCGTTTTATTATAGTGATGGCCAGTGCACTTAGATATCCTAAGGTCACAGAGTTTGACACGCAACAGTTGTCCCTCCTTAATCGGGTAACTTTGACTGCCCATGTCTTACGACAAAAAAATTAGATTGCAAATGAAGCAGAGTAACTCCAGACTGCATTGATATCCAACTCAACTTGTTAGCGCATCACGTCAGAGGGCAGACATCTTTGCTGAGTCAAACGTGCAATAAGTTGTTTTTTAAAAAAGAATAAAAAAAAAACAATCAGTACTCCTGTTTTTACACAAGTCAAATAAAGCCTGCATCTCCACGGCAGATTTCGGGCATCAAAGTTATCCGTGTTGTGAGTGATGGAAATAGCTAAGAAATAAATTGCAGTATAAATCAGACTTTGTGTCATAAAGCCACTGTACAGTAAGTGCTTGGTAGAAGTAGTTATATTTATTTATCTTTTGCAAAACATGCCCAAAGGTAGTGAAAAATGTATATTTTTCTTTTGTTGCTCAAAGTGAGTTGATTTAAAGGAGTCAGCTGAATTGGGACTCGGGCCCAGGACCATTGCACTGAACGTCCAGTGCTCTCGTCGTTGAGTACCTGTCTGATGCTTAAACTTGAATTGGTGACTCATTACAGGGAAGGGGGGGGTTGCATTCTGAAATCAGTATGTGTGACGTGCTCTGCGCCTTTGCACACTTGAATCATGTTTCATAAGAGCAAGCCTGAGGCCTGTCTGTGATCCCACGGCGTTGGAATTGTTGGGTGATGCACAGTTCGTACAGGTGGCATCCTCGTAGCTTTTATCGTCCCAGTGGGTGACATTTTTACCCACTGGCTGATATTTTTGTTTTCGGTCCTGCTAAAATAAAAAAAGAAAAACCCCACCCAGTTTGAAAACAGTACCAGATGGAATGTTTCCTTCAAGTTCCAGTTTCTGTGCAGGTTTGGGCCCAGAGATGTCATTGCCAAACAAGGTTGTCAAAAATTAATTCAATCAAGATGCATTATCGCCAACTCCCCACTCTCTGCAGGTGTGTCATTTAACGTGATTAAGCTTGAAACAATCTATTTGCACCTGGTGTGGCCCTATCCAGGGGGGGGGGTGTGTGTATGTGGGTTGACAGGGCCGTTCACTCCATCGACGTCTCCCACAAGAGAATGATGTTGACACGGAGCGTACCAGGAACATACATGTGGGCATGATTTTCCACGCAGAGGAAGCAATTGATAATGCTGTAATCTGGCAGCCAGGGAGGGGAAGGGGCTTGCTCTCTCTTTGTCGTGGTGGGTTATCATTTACATGATTCTTGTGGAGCACAGACGTCAAGTTGGGGTCAAAATTTTAAGCTACAGGTCATTCATCTTGTCATTTCTTCATTGAAAACTTAAGCATATTGCCGACGCTCTGTAATGATTTACTGATTTAAGGCCCATGACTTTTGAAACCCACCCAGCTCCTGGAAAACCCAAGTGGATGTCTTCAGTTCATTCCTGCTTTCGTTTCTTTCCTTTTTTTTGCTTTCTCGAGGGAAGTGGTAACAGTTTTTCAAAATAACTTTGTACCCTACTTGACACATCTCCCTTTGGCAAGGCAAGCACATTTGAGGGCCATAAAATATGGAAATGATTTATTGTATAAACAATATACCTGATGACTGCCACAGCAGAGACATTGCAATTTCAGCTGACAAGAGTGAAATGGCGACTAATCAGAAATCGGCTGGTTGGTGCAACAGCTATATAGAAGACAACTATTTAATGTAAACATACTACATGTAAAATATATATAGATTTATCAAATTTATGATAATGGACATTGTGATTATAAACCCGTAGAGCTTTAAAATAGTGTTTTGTCCTTTGTGCGTGTTGTGCAATTATGCTGTGTGTCCGTAAAATTTGTGAAAATCATGAACGTCATCCATTTCTGTAGAACGCGTGGAGCTTCTGGGCCACAGTTCCACATTCCTGAATCTTGAATTGCCACGGCAACACCTTTTTAAAATCTCAATCATCATTCCATGAATTTCAAGGACTGCTTTTTGTGCTTGTAAAATGAATAACTGTAAATGATATTTTTACAGTTGAAAATATTCCAATTCCAGTTATTTGACAACGACAACAACAGACACTTTGAGTTGAGATTCCCATTGTGCTCAGGTAAGAATGACTGCAATATTTTCTGGTAAGGATTTTTTAGAATGACCATGATTTCAGATTTCTCAAAGTGACTTCTCATGGCCTGGTAGTGAAACAAAGTTGTGCATGAAAACTGATCACACTTGCGGTACGCACTATGAGAACACGCTTGCATGGAAATCAACTTGAATTGCACGGCAAATTTCTGCTGGGTACCATTCAGTTGAATTCTTTTAACGTCAACATTTGCTACTACTACAATCCCACTGATTTAACGGAGAGGTTTATCTTGTATATTTTGGCGGCAGTTATGTTAAATTATTGATCATTCCAGCTCGTCTTCAGTACTCTTAAGGAATTAAATTTTGGTAGGTAAAATCTGATTATTTTCAGTTTTCACGGGATGAAGCGTACACACTGGTTTTTTTCAAAGGTGTTGTAAACATCTCAGTTGTTGATAAATTGCGGAATTCTTTAGAATTGCAACATTTGGGTTGTGATCTGCGATCAGTGATTCATTGATTAATTACAATCTATTGTGATTTAAGTCACTAAAATTACTAACTTCATTGGTATATTATTCATGTACCACACATGATGGTGTACGTACGTGTATGCCCAGTTCACTTCTTGGCCATTTCATTGGTGTTTTGGACTATAGTTTAAAAAGGCATCACTGTCTGGGGGAAAAATTTAGCATAAAAAAACAATTTCCAAACTGTCACTTCACATTTTATGGTTTTAGTTACCCGAAATTATGATCATGATTTTTATTTGTACATACAAATTACCAAGTTTGCCATTTTTTTATCAATACAATGGAATATGAGTTCAGTACCAAAGCTGAATTTTTGTTTTATTTACACTCGATCAAACTGATGTCTGCAATTGTTTATAAGGTGTTTATTTGAATTTAATGAAAATAGGATATGAATCACGAGTCCAAAAATCCAAGAGAATATGTAAATTATGTCAAATATTGCAGCCAATCAGTCCGCTCCATGCTAGATTATGCAGCTATGAGTTCTTACAAGAAACTCTGTGATTGGTGGATACTTGTCCATTTATTTTAGTATATTTATTGGCCTATAGTATTAGTTGTATCAGATTTATTTATTAACTTGGGTTGCTAATGAGTAAGACTGAAAAAAGTCCACGACCGCTTAACAGACAAAAGTCCTGTATAAAGTGCCGCTTACTTGCTTAGTTGAGTTTGTATTATTAGTTATTGTGAAATTGAGTCATGATATCGTCATGCGTGTCAAAGGTCACGGTCACGAATAAAGCACTAGGCCTCCCTGTCTAGATCTAAATGAGCATCTGGAATTAAGCTGTCCGTGGAATTTCTTTCAGTCGTCAGTTATATTATGAGCTTTTTAACATATTTCGGCCCCTCTGCACCAGTGTTAGCTGGTCCCAGCATTTTGCGTGGGCTGTTGCGCTACTTTCGGGTACCAGTTTGGAGCCATGTTTATTTCTCTTGCTGATATGGTTGAGTCCTTTTCCGTGCGCGGGAAAAAAACATCGCATGCTCATAGTACGTCAGTGGGACCGTCTTCGCACGTCTGCAGGTGGTGAGTCAACTATTTCCCCTTCTTCTAATCAGCACAGCATCGACCAGTCCCTCCCTACCCTCCAAAAATGAGCTCCCTGCAGGAAGTGAGGTGCTTGACACGGATACATAGAAACTCAGGAGGTATACTTGCTTGCAGCGGCGAGTCAGGTAGCCAAGACCATGAACTTGGGCCGTCTATCACCAACGGTGCAGCTGCCGCTCGCACATGTTGCAATTCAACCGGCCTTGACGAAAGAGCCACGGTTTACTTTATAGAAATCAGCCTCTGTCGTCAGTAAAGACTCTTAAGTTGCCAGTTTCCGGAGATAAAATACTTCCTTCTATGTACCTGAGCCAGAAAGGTACCCGACTTTGACATGCAATACAATTACTGTTTCGAATTAAGAAAAAAGTTAGCACTTGATGCCAGTTTCACTCTTATTTATCTGTCGCCTTGTTGTGTCTCATCTGCTTGCAGGTCTAGTCAAACTTTAAAGCTTGTGGTAAGTACAAAGTTTCTTTTTAAAACTGAGACTGACATGTTCATTTGCCTGTAATAAGGCCATATTGTTGATACCATCTTTGTACCAAAATATGGCACATGCTGTCCAGTTATGGCAGATAAACTATCGCGGCCTCCTTTCGTTGTGTGAAGGTATGAGTAGTAAACCTATGTGGGAATTTTTTAAGAACCGTTTTGAGTCAAATTATTGAACGAAACGTTGTACTTCAGCCCAGTTTTACACGGAACCTTTCATTGAATGTAAGGTACGCACATCGGGCTATTGTATGCGTACACTGTGTAGCTCCATTGTGTAGCAGGCATATTCTGGAGACTGCCGTCTGCGCAGTCAGGAATGAAAGACTTTGGGTTGACCAACGGTGTTATTGTGTTACATTCTGGTATTGTCCATAGACGTAACGTTTAACCCGTGCCTTTGAAAGTCGTTCGTTAGCAAATGGCATAACGCCAAAAGAGACAGTCCCTTTTGTGACATACTTAACATATTTTCATTGCTCTCAAAACTTATGTCTACTATATTTTCTAAAGTCAGTTCTGATGTGTTTTTAAGACGTGAGATTATAAGTTGTCGGTAAAAGATTTCATCGTTCCATTCTGTTGGGCCATAATTTTAAGCCGAACTGTTCTCAAAATACCAACTGTTCTCAAATACAAATACAAATTGGTTATTTTATGTAAGTATCTAAAATAAAATGAGATAGTTTTGCTTGTGTATTATTTTCCTATCATTATTTCAGTGTGGCTTGGCACTTGCTGGAGATATTTTTGCGTTTTTTAAATTGATTTAAACTAAAACGATTACGTCTCATTAATGAACCAACGCCGGCAACGTTGGCTTTGATCCTAATTCTGAAGGTGATTGACGTGTTTCCTCCGTTTGAAGCAGTGCAAGGCAACGGCTGTTGGTTACAAAACCCAAATGCCTGACCTTTAAAGACCGAGGCGCGGCCGGCCCAAATTGAGCAAATGACCACAATTCAGGAAATTGTCTCTTGTGCGAACATACAAGAACATATCCGCAGTCGATCGAAGAGAGACTCTGCACCTGGCATTGCCTCTTCATTCGACCCTTTTGTGCGTTTCCCCTTGTCGTTGTTCCCCAAGGGCCCGAGGATCATGTAAGGATGTAAAAAAAAAAAAGTTTTATCGAAAGATTGGTCCTTCTTGTTGCGCTCCGAGCGTGCAATTAATTTCACGGATGGGTTGACGACAGTCTAGCGTGCCGTTATGAGTAAATTTAGACATCTTGCTTAGTCAGTTTCACATCAGGGCTTTCGTACAGTACCTAAAGGCCTAAAAGGTTAGGAAACTGAGAGTCCAGACGGTATGCTAGAGGGGGAATGTTACATTAAAACGTAGTTTATGTCCCTGCGTGCCACGGCGTAAATAGGTCTAGACGCGTCCATTCTTTCTGTTTGCTATATCTTTGTTGAAGAGTTTAGCAGTATTTTCTTTTCATGTAATGGTTTAAAAGTTTGACTCGTGGGTATTTTAGGTTTTCAGGTTGATAACGCGGTCAAAACAGCCTCCGCTCGACGCTTACGACTTTCTTGACTCGTAGTGGGCAGGAGTAACATCCATTGTAATTCACGCCCACACTCCTGAAATAACACAATGGTTAATGCAGTCCTAATTGTTACAAACCCACCCGGTGATAGGGAATGTCCGTATTATTTAGCGGACAATTGGGGAAAACTTGGGGAAACTAACGTTAATGAGCTTCTGCCATCCCACAATGGAATGGTGCTAAAGCGAGGAAACCAGGGAAAATTGGCCGGGTGCGAGTCACAGGAAGGGATGGTTCGCGGGGGCCTTCTTCCTTTTGACTCCTTTGTCTCTCCTGGCTTGACCCGGTGAGGGGAGGGGGGGCACTGCACAGGCTGTGATGTCCGCTCTGTAACAGAATCTGGCCAGATACTGTTGAACCGCACTTTAACGAAAATATTGTCCACAACAATGTAAGTAATCTTTGGAAGGATTTCGGAGACTTTTTGGTTGTTTGTTTTGGTAGAATCATCTTACATGAAAAGAGGCGACAGGTTTGTGACGAATTCCGGTGCGCGATGAAGCTCCTCGCTACGGCAGAAGTATTTCCAGCTGACACTAAGCCGTGTCATATTACTGTGCTGGTACTTGGGACAGGTTCAGTTTTTGTTGTTAAATAAGAGAATTTGTATAGGACGCGCATGCATCAGTGCTGAATTTAAAGCAAGAGTGGAATTCCTACTGTTTGCAAGTTTTTCACCATTACAATCATTTCTTTTCACATAAGTAACCTGGACTTGGGGTCATAAATGAGATTTGAGATCGTTCCCAAATAGACAACTGAATCCAGCTGATGTTTCCTTGTTCATGGTTAAACATTCGAGTACACTAAACAGAGCAAGCACCGCCACCAACAGCTTGCAGCCTGTAGTATTAAAAATTCCAAGTCAGGGTATTTTAAACTTTGACGTATATTCCAGCCACCGAGGTGGAATCTCAGTCAAACGTCAAGTTTACGGAACTTGAACAAGTACAAATGAAACTGTTGGCAAAATATATGATCTAAGGAAATTAGTTCACCTTTTTTACCCAGTCATTGAAGTTGACCTGATGTGTGTGGCGCTTAACTTTTTGACAGTAGCTCTTTAAGGGTGAATAGGGTCTGCTCTTTTGACGTCAAGGTCGTGTTTTTTCTGCAAGTGGCTGCTAAAACTATGGTTGGCCGTCGGTCACAAAAATAACAGAATAATTCACAGAGTGTTAAAAATCAAAACACCTGAAAATAATACAGGTACTACTAAATACTTAATGGAAATACAACCCTATTTAAAATAAATGGGGCAAATGTCAATTTGGATGAAAGTTTGAAGTAAAATCGAAAACCAACCAAAAGGTGATGTTTCTGCAAACTTTCGGAGTCCAAACAAGTTGGAGGCAAATTGAGAGCGGTCTTTACTGTCTCTACATCCAGGGGTAGGCAAGTGATGTCTCCGAGGGAGCAGCAGCTGAGAGTCTGACTAATTGATCTTGATGTTTCGCTGTTGGGCTTTCTTCCCGCATGTTGTGGCGCTCACGTCGCCTTCCTCGGTGGAATTTACGTGGCCGGCTGAGTTTTTATGTCAAGTCGTGGCGAAGCCACAGGTTGTGGCTTTTGATGGGATGAACGCCCAATCAAAATTTAATTAGGAAAATTATCTGAGAAAAGTGTATAGATTAGAAATCCCATTATGCCAGCACTCATTTGCATCTTCTGTTGGCTTTCGCATGGTGACCATGCCGTGCACGCGCAGTTACATAAAGTCAACAAAGCAACGTGCCCAGCTTGGCAGATAATGGCATGATATTGGTAATGACTCCTCCTCAACAACATTCACAAAGCTCTATTATCAAGAAATCATTCGTTTATTCGTCTTCTTCATCCTTTGAATCGCTGTCACATCTTAGAAAATACACTTTAACATGGGAGTGGAAAATCAGAACATGAGTTTTACCATAGCGGTAGAAACATACTCCCCAAAGATTGACGAATTTAACAGCTGTACCCTAATTACAACTTCCTAGTTTCCGTTCCTTGCTTTTGGTAGTAATTTTTCTCTCCCTCCAAAAAAAGCGATTTCTGTGATCAGGTGTTTGTTATCTCAAGACCTTGAGCGGTAATCTTCCTCTGGATATCCTCATCGAGTGGCGTTCCTTCTCCCTTCGTTACTCAACACAGGAAGAAATGCAACTTTCAGCACTCGTTGATGACTTGGCCGACATCGAGGTTAGGAAGAGGCGAGAGCCCAGAGGCGGGGCGCTTTCAGCGCGCGGTTTGCTTTTACGCTGATGACTCGCTCCAAGCTCCACATACTATGGACTTCCCTGCAGTCTACTGCTTGTACCATCAGTTTGGACTAGGCTAATTACAAGACTACAGCCACAGGCTAAACATAAGAAACGAATTAGGGGGTTATCCCTCATTGCTGATTTACCCCGGAGCTTTGCTCTTGAATTTGATTTGTGCACAAATAGGAACGGCCAGCGGGTTCATATTTTAGCCGAGGTTGGGCATCCCTGGCGGAGCGTGATTTTATTGTGTGTTATCGTCACTAGGATTGACTGGACCTATCGATCTTGGCAAGGGGACCTATAGGTCGGAGATTGCCCGTTGCCGACAAGTCTTTTCCCCAAAGGCCAAGCCTCCTTTCCCGAAAGAGATTACAGGTAACAAATCTAAGATGCGACTGTCCACTACCTGACGGTGCATGTGCACTAATGTCATTTCACAGCCAATCAAGGAAGCAATCTCCTCCATAGAGGAGCTATTTTGTTCCTGATTTCCTCAACTTTCTGATCTGCCTCCCTCGTCACTCACGCAGGAATGTGTGAGAGTTTCTTATATCCCGCTCTTGTCCAATTCTAGAATCGTATCATTGGTCGATAAGAGAAGGGCTGTTCCTTGTCATCGATCCTCCTATCTCCGTCCCTGTCCAGTGCCCCACGACTACAAGAATACGGCCTTTCTGAGACGTTCTTATTCCTTAAAGGGTATCCATGAAATGTTAAGCAGTCATCCAGATCAGTCAGTACAAAAAACCCATCTCATTCGACAAGACAGATCCAGATCAAGCTCAATAAACCGATGTTTTGCTGGGATCACTAATTAAAGCAGTATTTAAGGGCTGGGCATTGGACTCTTCTGAAGGAAACTTCAAGTTGTAGTCCTCTTGGGGAATTCTGTGGTCCCGGCCCCCGGAAATTATACTCGATTTGGGTCGTTGTGTTTTCTGTGAAGTGTCAAGAGAAACTCTCATCGTGGCTGGCATCCCTTATATTTGGGGACTTGCGCAGTACACTTTGCGCATCGCGAGTTTGTTGGCATGGTGCTCTCAAGATGTTTGCCTTTGGATTGTATTTCAGCGTCGTCTGCCTTGATGCCGACTCCCTTACTCACGTTCTCTGAGATTACTCGCAGTCTGTTTTGCCCCTTCTTTCACTTCGTTATTGTTTGCCGGC